AATTGACTTTTCTTTTAGTATTTTTTTATAATATACACGTTAACATTAAAAACTAAAAATTATACAAAAAAAATATTTTCTAAAAATTACTTTTAAAAATCACCACGCACTTGCTCTTCAGGGCCACCTAAAACCATAGAGTAGACGTGGACTGTTTCTTGGTCGAGGTGCACATGCGTTGAATCTTCACCTAGGTAAAGGCATTAGTATTTATAGCCCAGTCTAGAAAGGTGTGAGGCTCCATGGCCGAAGCCAAGTCTTCTTTATTCCTTTTTTATAATAGCCTAGGCTAAGCTTAGCTCTAATGAGATTTCATAGACTTGAACCTAACCCCTGTAGGCCAATACCCTTGTTTGCAAGTACTCACATAGATCTACCATAAACAATTGCTAATTAACACGAGGAAGCATTGAACTTTAGAGGAAAAAACAAAAATTGAAATCCATGGTACCTTGACAAGAGTCTCAAGCGGTTCACGAATCCCCCTTGTCAGGGTTCCTTGAGGAGACCCTTTTCTCCTCTTGTTCTTCTTCAAATTCTTCTCCAACGAATGTGCGACCAGAGCTAGAGACACACTGTACAATTGAGTAACATTGGAGAGAGGCGCGGACAGAGCACCGGCAATGCTACTCTTGGACTGAACCAGCCCATCATAGCAAGTTTGTTGATTGGTCACTACCCCACTGAGCAGACTCGTGACTCTCTCAACCAACACATCACTCATTGACTTGGCTGCTACCAACTCGTTAGATATGGTCACAAAGAAGTCCACATTGAGTTCCATGAGCTCATGGCAATCCTGCAATGCACCAAACTCTTCACGGGTCATTTTGGAGAGTTGTTTTTTGTGTGTTAAGTGATAGTCGATGACTTTAGACAATCTTTTTGCTTGTTTAAGGCATTGTTTGACTGAAAACTTGCTGTACTCGTAAGGGTTGGAAGATGATGAAGGAAAGGTTGTTAAGATTGAACGACAAAGCTTAGGATAAAGGGTGGATTTGCATGCATTGGAAGGTGAATATGGCGGTGGAGGAGATTGAGAGGAGATTAACGAAGGTGAAAGGATCGAAAGAAAGGCAAAGAAGAGAATCAAGAATGGTGGGCGTTGCATTTTTTTCTTTTTATTTTGTATGGTTTCTTATATAACGTGTGTGTTTGCATATGAGGATTGTGGGGCTTTATATAGAGAAGGAAAGCGCGTAATAATTATTGGAGGTATGGGAAGGGAGGTGTCGGCCTGTGAAGTTAGTCAAAGAAATGTGTTCTCTCTGGGTTATCAGGGAGGTGGAACCTTTTGGAGTAAGGGTTTGCTACTTACAAGGATAGGCACTGTAAACTCTATTAAAATCTTAATTAAAAAAAATATAATTTCTAATTTTTTTTAAAAAAATTATTTTCTTCATAAAACAATCAAGTAAACTATAACCCATATTAAAATCTCATAATATTTGTAGTTATATATAGATGTTGTTCATTGTTATATGTGCTGGATTACCAATGAAATGTTGGTTAATGGTTAAGATGCTATTTTACAAATAAGAATACAAGTTATATTCTTAAAAAGCATTTTTACTAAAACAATATTCACAAATCCTGAACTAGGCTAATTTTATTTTTTAAAAGGATACGAGGGTATTCAGATAAAAAAATATATAAAATAAAATAAAAATTTTATTTTTAATATATAAGATATCTGAATGGCAGTAAAATGTAAATATATATTAAGTTTGAATTTATTTTCTTGTTGAGATTTTTAAGCCCGTAAGGGTTTGGAACTTACAAGGATAGGCACTGTAAACTCTCTTAAAATCTTAATTAAAAAAATATAATTTCTAGTTTTTTTTTTAAATTTGTTTTTTCATTACATAATCACGTAAACTATAACCCATATTAAAATCTCATAGTATTTATAGTTATATATAGATGTTGTTCATTGTTATATATATGCTAAATTACCAATGAAATATTGATTTAATAGTTAAAATGCTATTTTATAGATAAAAATACAAGTTATATTCTTAAAAAGTATTTTTATTAAAAGAATAGTCATAAACCTGAACAAGACTAGTTTTATTTAAAAAAAAAATATAAGGATATTTAAATTAAAAAATATAAAATAAGATAAAATTTTTATTTTTAATATATAAAATATCTGAATGACAATAAAATATCCATAGCTTATCCTTATATAAATGAGATATTTCTTCAATCTATTTTTAATCTAATTAATTTTATACTTAAATATATATTAAGTTTTAATTTATTTTCTTGTTGAGATTTTTAAGCCAACTCATCGAAATTAATCACGCGATATACGAGTTAAAAGCACCAAATTAAAAATTAACATATATTCTAACATAAACTTGATTTGAAACTTTCATTGGAATGATGGACTAAAAACTCTTTATTTTGAAAAAATGACCTAAAAACTTAATGCATATTTAAAGAAAAATAACACATCGGGAAAATACTCCTATCCAATTAAGGACGCGATTAATGAACCATTAACCGAATTTCTTTTTAATTGTTCTATTTTCATATATATATATATATCTATATATATATATATATATGTCTGAATTATACGCATCCTCGTCCCGTGTCCACACTAGGCATACTTATCTGGGCAAGGTGTTATTTAGTAATTGAAATCTAGATTTTTTAAAAGGCATGCAATCATGCAAGTCAGTCCACGATAAATAATTGGACTCACAATTCATATAGCTTGGAATACTCTTATTACAATAAATGAATGACTGAATCTTTGCATGATAAGAAATTATCACATGGACTTAGCCTTGGACTAAATTAATCAATAATTAAACACAAAAACTTATCTTATGAAAGTAATGCATATGATACTTCTTAGTTGAAATTATATTTAAGTATTATTTTCTTACGATTTTTTATTTTTGATATTCTCAAATTAAAATTATACAAAAATAAAAATGACGTTTTTTAAATAAAAAAATAACTTTTTGTTTACCAAATAAATATCATAGTACTGATCTGTGGGCTTTTCCCTGACTCTACAGAGAGTGAAATGGAGAGTGATGGCTTCAGTGAATCAGGTAATTGTAATGCCATCTTTCATACGTAGAGGTATTCTCCCCTGTCACCACAAATCATCATCTCAGGCACCGTTTAGCAACTCGGCAGCAAAAAAATATTATTTTTTTATGTTCTTGTTCAGCACATGATCACGTTACAAAATGAGGACTCAGTCTTCTTTAAAACTTGACCAAGTCAAATCCAAAACACTGAAAACATAATCTTGCATTCTATGATTCATAAATTGTTTGTCCCACCTAAACCAATGAAGAGAAAAACACATGGCTGACTAGCTGGCTAGCTTGAACACTCCACAGGAGGCTGGTAGAAAATCAACTAATTAAAACAAAAAATAAAAAGCAATAAAAAGACTAACAAATTAAACCAATTGCAAACATTTCTTGCTAGCTAGCAAAATCTTGAAGCTTCCTTGCCCGCTCCCTACGAAAACATCATCCCTTCACTCGAGGCTTGGACCTGGCACGCGAACATGTGTTACTCAATTAATTATTTCAAGGTTATTCTCAAGAGGGCACATTAAAAATGTAGCAGTGAAGCTGATAAATGGTTACTTGTTCTGTATGGGATTAGGAACGCTAGGAGGTATTCTTCTAAGGCTGGCGGCTACTGTCTGTGTTGTGTTCGGCATGCTTTCTTTTGACTCTGAATTCACAAGAACTTGAGAGCTTGGTGACTTGGTTGAAGCCAAGGACGAAGCTGGCAGAACCCTTGCTTGAGCTAAATTAACCCCAGTTGAAAGAAGCATTGCTAGAGCTATTATTGCACAGATAATAGCAGACAATGATTTGAAGCAGCTAGGTTTCATTGCTCTCTTAACTCACAAGATGTCTTCTATGTAGTGAAAGTAGGGCTTGTGCTAGCCAAGATCACTTGTAATGACTTATATATTGAGAGAAACAGAATATGTAAGGGAGATTATCTCCATATCTTTGTTTTTGCTTTCGTACTAGAAAGTTTATCTCTTCTTTAAATTCAAATTTGGTGTGGGAGTCATGTGATGAATCTTTGACTATTCTGCTTCCAAGTTCCAAAGCTAAACCTAAACCCTGCAGATTTGGTTAGTGAGATTGTTAATATAATTTACCAGTCATGTGATCAAATAGTATGATGATTGGCTGGCTTAGCTTAGGATTCTACTAAAGTGATTTGACAATGGCCTTAATGACACATTTACATTGGTGATGACATGATTATCCTTATAAACAATTAGCATGGAAGGTGATATCTGCAAAAGAACAGAACTCAGTTTGAAAACCTGAGGGCTATGTAACTAGAATAATCAGGAGGCTAATCATATCGGCTGATTACAGTATTATCAACTGGGAATTAGAAAGATAGCTTTGCAATCTTTGTTTTCATCTGCTTCTACTTTATTAATATTATTTGCACATGGAAGGCAAACTTTAGAGTTCTAGTCATTGCTTTGAGAAGGTAACACTGGTCCAACTTGGATCAGGACGAGCTGGTTCGCAGTACAGAAATAGAGACTGACCTGGTCTGGTTTTTTCCAGTATAAACTCACAGGTCCAGCTTCCAGAGCCAAGTTCATCTCACCACCTTCCTTTTATTACACAATTTATATGGGAGACATTATCAGAAAAGTACATGATAATTCAAATTATAGTTCATTAACTCACGTCATTTGTATACCTCCTCTGCCCTTTCAAAAAATTTTAAAGATTGCGTTTGGTTATTATTTCAGGGTATAATAAACGAATACATAAGAAATAGAAATATATTTAGCTGAATAGTAAAATAAATATTTTGAAATGAATTTTTATACTTTTAAAACATAAAGTGCTGAAGTATAAGGAGATGTCTTTTATATCTTTATTATCCAAACGCAACCTAATGGAATCCAAATCTAAGAGGGAATCAGCAACAGAACAATGACTTAGCAGGCCAGCAAAGAGAGAACACGGTGATCGAATCGAAGTAAAAGCTTGCAGAATGGTGGTTTCTGAGGCTTTAAAATTGAAAAGTCCTAACTCCCAAGTTATACAATTTGTAAAAAATGCTAGCACTTCCTTGATAAGGCAAGATAATAGACAAAGTTTTTGAAAATAAAATGGACCAGACCAAGAAATTATCAATCACAAGAACGGCTCACCTAACATGTTTATTATATCCATGCCTTCATCTCATCTCTGACAAAAACAAAAAGAATAAGCCTTACTCCTCAAGCATTAAACATGTTATTTCCACAGCAAACTTGGCACTCTCTGGCATAATTTTTACTGCTGAAAAACTACAGTAGAATACACTTCCTAGGTGCTTCGACTATGATAATTTTAGGACAGTTCTTGAAGAATCATATCCACAGAGAAAGCTTCTTGCACCTCACCAATTGCAGAAAGCTCTGTACAGCTTGCACAACTACAATATTTTACTGCAAGAATATCATGCTTTCAGTCTAAAAATTTGGATATAAACGGCAAAATTTAGTTCTCTTCTGTCTTCTAGCAGCTACGTTAGTTTATCAGAAACCTGGCCGGAGAAAAAAAACAGTTAGGCAACATAGTATGGAGAGGTCATGATAAAAACAAATGGAGTTATAGCTGTTGGACTACTCACTATTATGAATCAAAACAATCATCAGCACTGTACACGAACTCGAACACTATTTTCTTGTTAGAGGCAAGTGCTCCTCACTTGCAACTTTCATGTTAAAGCCTGATAATGCCTTTCTTAATCCACCATTAGAAACTTGTACGTCTACGATGAATGTTGCGCATACTGGCCGGTGGTCAGAAAACCTGGACTCTCCGCGTACGTAAGATAGTTGATGTATCCCACCTCCATGCCAAAGTATTCTATCACACCTGCAATTTTTTTAAGATATTCAACTTGGTTGTAGAACTTTTTTATTTCAGTAATATAGGTGTAGGTTTTTACTAAATATACCACGCTGGAGTTCTTCTTTTCTTTTGTGTTTCAATAGTCTCTCCAGCGTAAATGTCCGAGTTGTAGGAGTATTTGTATGTTGGTGCGAAGTAGATCTTTCCCTCTTTCCATCCTCCGAACACTCGCCCTGCTTCCCTCTCAATTTTCAGCTGTCAGAACATGGACCGAATTCAGTTTGAGTATGCAGGAAAAAGAGAGGAACTGAAACTAGTTACACCTCCATCGAGAGAATAAATACTGTGGCTGTTAATACAAACAAACATTCCTCGTAGTCATTGAATAATATTGAACACTTCTTTAAGTTCCGTATAACATTCTTGCAATCCACCCACAGTCAATGTTCAAGATGATCTCGGTTTTTGTTATTTTAACCCTCGGCGAAGATTCGCAGAAAAAGATAAGGAAAAGATTTATTCTACAGAGCTGCAGGTAACAAAATGGATGATGCCATTTTCACATCGCTCCAAGTTCAAAGTTATTCTATTCAAGTTCAAAGAAGGTACCTGATCTTTGTCAAAAAGTGCATCCCAGTTATACTGCTCCAGAAGCTTTCGAGTCTCGGAATAGCTCAAAGCTATCCTGTAATTCAAGTCCCCCAACCATATTACCCGACTAGGGACATCAAAACAGGTTTTAGTGTCCAGGCATTAAATTAAGAAAGATTTTTCAAAGACAGATTAGACTATTAGTTTAGTGATTTCAGAGACGCTTACTCATGATCCATAATTTTCTCAGGCGCTCGACTATATGGAGATTTGCAAATTCTTGAAAATTGTGTGTTCTTAAGTATCTCTATGACATCCAAATTTCTCCTAAGTTCATCTCCTTCTTTCTCTCCTGACGCCAAGTGACTGCAAACAAAGCAAAAACTTGTCTGATGGAAAGACATGCTAACAGATATACACCCCTGCAACCAGAGAATTACGTAATTAACCATAATTTCAAATGAGGAAGGTCTATAATTCTGTCTTGATTTTCAAACATGACTCGTGAACAGCTTATGCTCATAAACAATGCATGTCTATGTCTCAAATTACCTTGTTCCCAAGACAGCCTAAGATCCCACGGCCAACGTTAGAGATTCTCAAATGGCTAACATGTTGCACAAGTTCTTTCCTTACCCAAACAGTAACAAATATTCCGACCATTTGTTTCCCTGTTATAAGGCTGTACTTCATCTGGTTGGCACTAGCTTGAGAGGAAATTTCTGTAGATACATAATTGCCAAGTCCATCTTCATCCTCTTCAGAAGAACCGTAATCCTCAGTCATATTTGCTGGTGGGGGACAAACACAGCAATCCTTGCTATACTTCCTTTCCAATATGGGAGAGCAATTGCAAGTCTTCAGCCTCCGTCCACTCTCAGTCCTGAAAGACTTACAGACCTTTTTAAGAGAAGGTTTTTGGAAGCGAAGTGAGCTGCAAAGGGGTGATTTTGATCCTCTTGAAGCCACACTGTATGATCTATTCAGTGATTGATTGATTAAAGCCAGCCATTTTGCTGCAGGCTCATTGTCTTCTGCCACCAGCACATTTCCAGCATTCAATGGAACAATTTCCTGAAAACTGACAATTCAAAAAAGAAACAAAATGAAGAACAAATCAGCATACCTCATCGCACTGAAAGAATTTAATATATTGGTATATAATCATTAAAAATAAAATACAAAGATACAGAAGGAAAAGAGGGAGAAAGCATACCCTAAGACATATATATCTGATTCATCATGAACCTGAAGAATATCATCTAGGTTGAGGTCACTGTGAGGAGATTTCCCTCCGACATTCCATGTTGCTACGAAAACTCTACGAAGGGAGAAGTTTTGACCAGAAACTATTAGATTTTTCATATAAGCAGATACATTGAGATTAAAAACAGGACGAAAGAAATATCGAAACTACGAAATTTAAGAGAAACAGAAGAAAATCCATCTTATGCTTACCTAAATGACTGGGCTTGACTGCTTGGCATTGGAGAGCTTAATTGGTGAGACAAGAGAGACTTGAGCGATGGATCAGAATGTGGTTCTGCAATTGGGAAGAAGAAGATAGGATTTTTAATGAGAAACAAAGCAAAACTTTAAAATTGTAATCTAAATTGAGGACACAAAGCAATTAGCGCAGGAAAAACTTCCTTCGAAGGCATATCATCTGTGCTAGCAAAGAAATCCAACCATTTCTCAAAGTACACCCACTCGATTCAAAAATAGCAGGTACTTATTAGGAAGAAAGGAAGGAAAAGAAATACCATCCACCTGGGGTGATAGACAGAGAAAAGATATACCGTTCTTGATTCCTTCTCTCCATTGGAAGAAGTTTACAGTGAAAATGTTCTCAATTTTGGAGCAAATTGCAAAGATGCTCTCGCCAATGACAACACTCCTACTTTTCCTATCTATGCCTTTCCAACCCTTCATCTTTACATTTTGGACCCGTTTATTACTTGCCATAGAAGGCAATAAAACTGATGAAAATTGTTCGATTTGTGGAAAAAAGAAGATTGAATGGAATCTGCTTAATGAAAAGAAAATTCTCTCTCTATGAATCTTCCGTTTCAAAAAAACCAAAAAAGAGAGCTTTCTTCACACATGAAGATAGAAACAATAATCACAGGTGATTCATTACTCACCAGACGAATCAAATGAAACCTTCTCTGCCTTACTCCCCTTTTCCTCCTTCTGCAAGAAAAATCTTCGAAGAAAAGACTGCAAAAACACAGCAGTAAATAGCTATAGATCACAGAAAGGCTGAACAAGTGATGTATTGTACGTGATCAAAAGCAGTAATGAATGCAATAGCCCCGTGTGGTCACCTGTTCAGTTCCTTAGGACTATGGATCAAAGAAAGGTTGAAAAAAGAGCAGAAACGGAGTAGCGGGAAAGACGAAGATTAAGCGAGCAAATAAACCTAGATTTACCTTCTTGTTCTGGTCTTGATTCCTCAGTGTCATGTCTGAAACTGCTTTATTTTCATCAATGGCAATGGCCCCAAATCAAAAACCTTCAAAAATAGAGAAAACTCAGTGATTGCATCAGAGTCCATCACTCGGAAATTCCAGAGGAATATTGGGGAAAAAACAAGGAAGGGAAGGTGAAGGGTGACATGAACATAAATCATATCGCAATTAAATAAGGTAATAAATCAAGAGGCCATAAAAAAGAATCAAAGAATATCAATCCATGAACAATCAACCATGCCAATCAATGAACTTATCATTAAAGAATGATCAAAAGAAGGTTCGGAACCAAAAATTCCAGTGTCCATATTTTCAACCAAGAAACATTCAACGTTCAACAATGCCAGTTGAGTTGATCCAAAACACAGTCAAAAAGAAGAAATGAATTTCAGCCATGAACTCCATTTACCAGAAAACAAGGATCACGGTAGCATCACATCCATGAAAAGATAGGTGATGGAGAGAATCAACTGCATAAATAAGGGCTGCAACCCCATCAAGGAAAGTTGACAGCCCAGATGGGGTTTTCTCGAAAAAGTCAACTTTCTAAGCAAATGCATCTCAGCCAATGAAAACACATAGAAAACTGAGCCAACGCAAGGAAATGCAAGTAGCTAAAGAAAAATAAAAATACTTGAAAAGAAAGAAAAAGAACCTGAATATTCTGTTCTAGAACTGAGGAAAGACTATTGTCTATCTGTAACAAGCAATTAAAAAAGACCCTCTTTACCAACGCAACTGGTGATATTGAAGTTAACGAAAGGTGTGTCTCTGTTTCTATGATTGATGTACGTGCAAAGATCTGACTTGGGTTCTCTCCTTTTCTTAAAAAAATAAAATTACGGTGTTTAAGTTGCAGTTGTGAGTAAAACAAATCACATCTTAGAAATCATAAAAAATGTTTTTCATCCTCTTTTTTTTTTTTTTTTTATTTCTCTCGTGTGAGTAAACTGTTCCGTATTCGCGTATCAAAATCCTGAGTTACATCTTAGATACGTTGTTTATGTTCAAACTGGGTTAATAATAAAACAACAGTTGGCTTTTGTTTATACAATTCAGTTTCTTTCTGCCAGTGATTTAATCAGATATTTTATGGTTTTGTCGAGAAAATAAAAGCGCAAAAGGAAACAGTCAAGAGTGGGGATCGAATCTTAAATGTCCTTTCAAGAACTTGTTTCGTCGAAGGAAGGATTCTGATGGTTTGTTTTCTTGGAAAGGAAATGGGAAAGTGGACCCCCACGTGTATGTGGCCTGCAAAGCAAATCAGGAGTCACAGAGATGGAAGGAGAGAGATTGTTTTGTGGGGGAAAAGGTGGTAATGGTTTCCTGGCAGTTTAAAAGTTGAGAGGGAGTGGGTCTTTGCCATCTACTACGACGACTACCAGTCTACAGACAGCATGGATTTCCAGAAAACTCACTTTTGGCCCACTTGAAGTTCATTTTCTCTTTGTGGAGAGGATGGTGTTTGAATGCATGGGTTAAGGTGAATACCTCCCTCCTACATTCCTTCCCGCTTGCTTATCTTCGGTAAGCTAATCCCCCGCTTCTGAAAAACCCGTCTTTTTCCCTACAAGTTTTGACCTAGCTCGTAGGTGGTTTTCTCCATGTAATTTAATCTTGATGTTCAATTACAATGACAATATACGTGTCAAGGAAAAAAAATAGTAAGGAAAATCATCACACGACAATTGCTCCAAGAATCAAACTTGATAAACTCAGTCTACTCTGTGATCTAGTTCAAGAATTAAATGAGTTAATTTGGATTGATCAAGATCCAAATAAACCACCCTTGTTTTAATTTTTCAAAAATCAAATTAAATTTTGATTATATCGTAACCTGAATTTAATTAAATCAACTCCCACTTGTTTTTTAACTTGATTGTTACTAGGTCTCGGGTTAATCTATGGAACAGTTATACGAGTTTAATAACATTAATTGCTGAGAATTATCTATCTGAGAAATTAATGAAGTAATGATTGAGTCAAAAATCCAAGCCAACTTGAATTATTAGTCAAATTCAAAGCCTTCAACCCTAAAACCCTGCTTACGAGGGAGCGCAAATACAAGATTATACATTGCCGATCATAGCATAGCCAACATATAGAAAGATATATAATATATAGAGGGGGGGGCATCTCTTGTGAGGACCCAGATGCATGGTCCCAGAGACTAGTTTAATGTTTAGAAGATTTGTAAATAGTAGCTATTGTTTTTGGTGAGGTAAGTAGCTAGCTAGCTAGCATGCAGACACCAAATTCCTGCAATATTTGCATACATGGAAAAGAACAGGATCCCTAGAATAGAGGAAGAATGGTTGGTTTCAATGGGGGCAAAGGGCCAAAGAGAGCTCCTGCTCCCACAGACAACATGTTTAGGGTTTCTATTTTTGTGCTTCAAAAATCTCATCCATTTCTCAATGAGTTTTGTGTAAATCAAAGACCATGCATCCGAGTCTTGTTTTGTTCAATGTTACCGAGGGTGACACTCCTTACACAAAAGACATGTATAGTAATTAATTCGAGCATCCCAGGAAATTAAGCACATCGAATCTATTGCCCTTGCTTAGTTTGCCTTGAACAATAATAAATTTTAGTGTTTCTCTTGACTTTCAAGGTATGGAGGGGGTGTTTCATTGCCATGTAACTTGATTTTCCCTTCCCTGTGTTCTGTGTAAAATACTCTTTTTTTTCTAGAATATTTTCAAAATTTTCTTATGTAAGAAAACTTTGATCAATCAAAAATATTTTATGTTCATAGAAAAAGTTATAATCTTATTAAAACAAGGAAAAATAACTTGGTGCTTATGAAGCTATATTATAGGTGTTCTTGGATTTTCCATTTTAAAAACTTTTTTTTTATAAAAATTTTATACTAGTGTTCCCGAATATAACACACACATATATATATATGGTTGGAAAAAAATATAGAAACTTGTATTATTTATTTTCACTATCTCTGTCTCTTTTATTCTACTTTAAAGAAATGACTAGCTATTACCATGCACTCCATGAAAATGAAATAGACACAAAGAAAAAAAAATAGAATGGAGAGAAAATGAAATAATTATTTTCTTATTGCTTATGCTTATCAAATCTCATGCAACTTTGTTCAGGTTAATTTCATTAACAAAGTACAACAACGAAAAATCACTTTTTTTTCAGAAAAATAATTTTTAAATACTATATATATAGAGGCAAGTTTAAGATGAGCCTTTTTGGTATTTTTGAACTAGTTTTTCATATGAAGTTCATTTGGAAAATGTTCCGAGAAACGACCACTTATTGAGGTGCAGGCCATGTTTCATTTATATAGAAAATGTATATAACTGGACAGTTGAGAATGAAAGAATCATAACATAAATACAATACATTATATTTATATAATTAGGGGTCAATCACTATATGCAAGGGAGGATGGCTAAGAATTAGGATAAGATTTTGTTAGGGCACATACTTAGCTTGGATCAAAAGAATGTGAAGAGTGATCTTGAAATGGAGCTTCTCTATCCATCATCTATCCATTAAGGAACTTCTTAACCCTTTTTGAATTTAAAATTATTTGATGTTTTATTGCTACCACACCTCATCAAAAATCAATTATTCATTAATAAATTGACTAATTTTTTTTCTTTTTTAATCATATTTACTATTTTTTTTTATTATTTATAAGATCACAATAATAGTGATGGCAAGAAGATATGATGATAGTCTTTATGTGCTAAAGCGAGATAATGTTGCATTCATTTATGTTCTAAATAAATTTGTTTTTATGGAGTCGCATGATTTATGACAGGTGCATCTTGGTCATGTTAACCAATATATTATTTATTTCTTGAATAAAAAAGAACACTTATTTCTTATTTCTATTTTGTCTAATATTGCTTTATATGCTATAAATGTTATAAGTTTTTGTTTTCTATGTTTTATTTGTTTGCTGAAAAATAATTTTTTTTAAAAAAATAAATTCTGAAAAACTAAATTATTTTTTTAATATTTGGTGTTGTAATGAAAAATAAGTTGGAAAACACTTCTTAGTATTTGGTTATGTCATGAAAAATGAGCTGAAAAATAACTTATTAATATTTTTTTTCAAGTTTATTAAAATAATGAAGAACAAATCTCACAAATTTAAAAGTTGAATGAGAATGAAATTAAAAAAATATAATTTAATAAATTATCTCAAATAAGATAAATAATAATCAAAATAATAGAGAACAAATCTAAAAAATAAAAAAATTGAAAGATGAAGAAATTAAAATAATAATAATTAACATTTCATAAATTAGTTCAAATAAAATAAGTAATAATAAAAAGAATGAAGACCAAATTTAATAAATAAAAAATTCCAATTAAAAAATAATAAGGAAAAAACAAATAACAATTATAAAAATAAGAACCAAAGTTATATAAAATTTAAATTGCAAGGAATGAAATTGAAAAATAAATATTCAAAACAATATATATATATATATATATATATATATATATATCAAAAGTTTAAGGATCAAATTTGATATAATCAGCAAATAATATGACATTTCTAAATTTTTCACAACTTTTAAAAGTATTTTCCGTTCAAAATAAAAGAAAAATACTTTGCTTAAAACCAAACTAAATTTTTCTTTGACTGTAAAGTATTTTTCGTTGATTAACTTTTCTAATATCAAATAAATATAAGAAAGTTTAGAAAATGATTTTCTGGAAATCACTTTCCAGAAAATAAACACATAATACTAGATCCACCTCAATTTTTGGACTTATTTACTGTGATATCTGGAGCCTAACTCTTGTTAAATTAAAAATGGTTTTTATTTATTACGTGAAATTTGTCAATGATCACTCTTGATTTACATGATTTTGATATCATGTTACAAAATCAATTCAACCTAAAAGTTTAAGTTATTATATGAGATTTAATAATAATAATAATTTATATTATTTTCTAACACATTCTCTTAAATGAAAATTCTCTAGTCTTGAAACTTGTATAGTTTTACATTACTTTATACTTAATTTTATCAAATAAATAATAATAATAGGATTTAAATTTATAATTGCTTGATTATTAAGACAATGATTTAATGAAAATATTATAAAAACCACCACACATTGAGGTGGAGATCACGTTTCATTTATATAGAAAATATATACATGTATAGCTGGACAATTGATAAGGAAAGAATCATAAAATAAATACAATATATTACATTCCTCCAATTATGGATCAACCACTGTATGTAAGGGAGGATGGCTGAGAATGAGGAGGAGATTCTGGAGAATCCTCAGCACATTTGATATATATATATATATATATATATATATATATGTTCATGCAGAAATAATTTTAATCGGCTGGAAAGATAAAAGCAAATAGCAGTAGGGAGAAAATATATTAACATGTCCCAAAAAGTTTACTATGTTCACTTTAAATAATAATGATTCATATTTGTTATTCATATTTTTTGCAGAAATAATTTTTCTAGGAATTGACAGTTTTATCTGAGTCTCTTCTCCTCTTGAGAGAGAATACGTTATATATA